GTGTCGAGGCTTGTCTGTGACCTGGCTGCGAAGCTTCACCCTCTGTGGCCCCGTTTAGATTTGAACAGCGCCCTTTTGGTGAAGCAAGCTCGGCAGCAGAGAAGTGTAGCTGAGCATCAGTGGAGCTGGCAAGGCAGGTTCTGGCAGTTTGAGCGTTGCTTCCGCGGTTCCGAGGCCGACCAAAAGCCTCCCCCTGGTTGCTGTCGAGGAGGCCCTGGGAACGGAATCCGTGGTTTTGACGGGCCCCGCCTCCAGTCCCTTGGGCGCTCGATGGTTTTTCGTCGACCGTTCGGGCAACTTTTTTGTTTTTGTGTGCTGCCGCTGCAAGTATGATGCGCGCGGCGTACAAGTGCGGGGATTGCGCAAGGAATGCAGACCCACTCCCCAAATCGGGGCCTAAGGAAGGAAACGTTCTTGGAACCGAATCCCCGCGGGTTGGCATCCCAGGCTCGACGGCGTTGCAGTTGACGTTGGGTCCTGAAAGACTCCCCCCAGTGAGTGATCGGTTCCCTTCTTCCCCATTCCCTTTGTGACCCTCCTCCTTTTCGTTTTCCCCCGTGCCGTGGATGTTAAGCATCAGAAGGGAAAGAAACACCCAGACACAATTAATCGGCGATTCCCAGAACATATGGGAAAATATGGGAAGTGGGGGGGAGGCCCAAACCCCAGAAAATATTGGTAAATATGGGGAATATTTTTATTTGTGTGTATTTATTTGTGTGTCCCAGTTCCCCTTCAAAACAACTCATCTCCCCCCCCCCCGCCCCCCCGCCCCGGCCTCCTTGGCCAGGCGAGCGCAACGCGGGCCGAAGGGCATCTCCGGCGCGCCCAGCAGTAGAGGGAAATGGATTTCCGACGCGGCGAGGCGGTTTTCGGGGCTGGTGCTATTCGCCGCCGAGAGAACCATCGGGGTAATTCAGTGAGAAAAACAGCAGTCGGTCACAGTAGTGCCAGTTTGGGATCTCGGCTGCGCCCAGAGGGGGCAGTGGCACCCTGACTTCGGCGAGGCCTTTCCCCCTTACCCCAGCGCCCCTTGGCGCGCCTCCGATCGTCCCTGCCCCATGAGACACCGAACCGTCCTCCTCCTCCTCCTCCTCCTCCTCCTCCACCCCCTCCCCTCCTCATTATCGTCCTCCTCCTCTTCCTTCTCCTCCTCGTCCTCCTCCTCCTTTTCCTCTTCCTCCCCCCCCGCCTTCCTCCTCCTCCTCCTCCTCCTCCTCCTCCTCCTCCTCCTCCTCCGTCTCCTCCTCATTCTCCTCCTCCCTCTTCTCCCTCTTCCCGATATCCACCGGCCGATTCTCCTGCTGATCTTCCCCCTCCTCTTTCGCCTCCTTTTTTTTTTTTGTTCTCCTCCTCCTCCTTCTCCTTCTCCCCGCCCCCCCTCCTCCTCTGCCAGAATCTTCTCGCGGTCCTTTGACGGCGCGGCCGGCCCGAAACGAACGGGGCGATGGCGATGGCAGTGGCGAGGAAGGCGACGATGACGATGAACAACCGACGGTTCTGCCACGGGTTCGGGCCACGAGGCGGAAAAAGGAGCGGGGGATGCGGGGGGGGGCGAGGTGGGGGAGGAGAGGGGCGGAAAAATGATGAGGAGGAACATGATGGATGAAGACGGGCCCAGATTGGGGGGGCGCTGGGGGGGGAGGGAAGAGGAGGGGGAAGGAAAAGGGGGCAATCATGAATTCGGAGGAGGAGGAGGGGGAGGAGGAGGAGGAGGAGGAGGAGGAGGAGGAGGAGGAGGAGGAACCGGTGGAAGAGAAAAAGGGAGGTGGGAGAGGAGGGGGAGGATGGGGGCCTTTCGTCGGGATTTTCGTCGGGATTTCCTTGCGCATCTAGGCGCAAACGGGGCTGGGGCGTTGCTTCGACCCTGATTGGCGCGCTGCGCGGCGCGTGCTTGCGCGCGGTCGGTTTTTGCAGCATTCTCCAGACAGAACAGGTATCTGACATATTCTGGCAAATGTCATGCCTCCGGACGAATTCTGGAAAGTCTTCACGCAGCCCGCCCAACATCGAACCGCGAGACGATTCATCTAAGCTGAGCCGACTCCGAGGTCGGAGGCGGAGCCCCCTCCGCCGGTAGGCGCGCCCCGTTCCAGCGATGCTGCTGAGACTCCGCAGGGGGCAAGGCGCGCTGCCGGAGGAGGAGGAGGAGGAGGACGACGAGGAGGAGTAGGGAGAGGAGGAGGAGGAGGAGGAGGAGGAGGAGGAGGAGGAGGAGGAGGAGGAGGAGGAGGAGGAGGAGGAGGAGGAGGAGGAGGAGGAGGGGGCGCCCCCGCGGTCGCGACGCCAGGGGAGGTGGCGCAGCTGGCCACCCCTCGCCGCGGCGCGGGCGCTCGCCCGCGCCTCTGCGCCCGCCCCGAGCTCTGTCCAGCGGCGAGCCCGCCCCTGGTCGCTCCCTCCCCGTTCGGCCATGGATGGGAGCCCCGCAATCTATTGCGGCTTGCGGGCCGAACCCCGCGCCTGCTTGTTGGCGAGGATCAAGGGCGACGGGCCTCTACGTGGCCACAGGAGGCGCTCCTCGCGTTTTCCGGCGTGGGCTCTGGCGCCAGGCCTCTTCGCGTTGAGTGCTGTCTCCAAGCCGCCGCCGCTGCGTCCGTCGTGCCCGCCCTTCCCGCGTGTGCTCGCGCGCGCCTGGCCCGCTGCGCTGCCGATGGCGACCGCCAGGTCGCCTCCTCTCCTGCCGCGGGCCTTTCCTGCGCGGCCCACGCAGATTTCGGCCGCCCGCCGAAGCCTCGTCAATGCTCGGCATGTCGGGCTGGACGAAAACGGGGGGGTTGGGAAAGGGGGGGGTACGAAATCTGCTGCATGCAGCTGGTCTCGGCCTCACCGAGGGGCCCATTCCTCTATACATGTCCGCCTCCGGCGCCGGGAGGCGCCGGGAAAATCAGCTGCGTGAGTAGCTGATTCTCCCCCCCCCCCCTTTGCTATCCCCCCCTTTCGCCCGACCCGAGCACGGCAGCCAGCGCAGGACATGCGCAGCCGCTGCGCATGTCCTTCGACGCGCAGGGGGCGCCCGTCTCCCGAGCGGCGCCGCTCGGGCCGCGCGCGCGCGCCCATGGGGCCCTGCGGGCCCTCCCCGCGCGCGCCAGCCGCGGCCTCCGCGCAGAGCCCATTCGCAGGCGAGGGGCGGGATACTGCCCCCGTTCGAGCGCGCGAGGAGTTCTGTAGCTTCTCGGCCCCTCCCTCGCTCCACAGTCTCTCAGGAGGGGAAAAAGACACACAGGCACAACGAATCCCCGATCCCCCAGAAGAAATTGGGAAGATACGGGGAGTGGGGGGGAAGGCAGAAACCCAGAAACTCTGGGAACCTATGGGGGATCCTTTTGTTTGTGTGCACGTACACCTTGGGCGATGGTTAAGAAAACCCAAGTTTTCGGCCAGAGTCTCGATTCTTCTTAATGTTTCCATGTACATCCTAAGATTTCGATGGAAATTCTGGGCTTCTACTCAAGTTCTGAGACTATGGATTTCTTAACCCATGATTTCTTAAGCATTTCGCAGGGTGTATCTGTGTGCCCCGGGGCCCCTTCCGTCTCCTCGTCTGAGCTCGGCGTCGCGCCGCGCTCGTCCCTCGACGCGCAGGGGGCCTCCGTCTCCCGGGCGGCGCCGCTCGACCCGCGCGCGCGCCCGGGGGGGCTCGGGCCCAGCGGGCCCCCCCCCCGCGCGCGCGGGCCGCGGCCTCCGCGCAGGACCCGTTCGCAAGCACAGGGTGGGATAACCAATCTTAAGTTTAAGTCGGGCCTGTCCCCCTGCAGGGGGGATTGTCGACGAAAAATATAAAAAATACACCCAAAATGGTCAAAAAATGGTCCAAACATAGTCTGGGGACTAGTTATTCTTGGAGTATTTTTTGACTTTTGGGGGGTATTTGGGGGTATTTTTAATTTTTTCGTCGGACACGCCCGACATAAATCTACGTACATGTGCATGCATCTATGCACGAGTGTGCACATATGTGCGTGAGGCGGGTCTGCTGGTGTGCTGCAGTGGGACAGGTTCGGTGGCCAGGGCCGGAACATGTTTTGCCGGTTCACCTGTCCAGATCCTCTTCTCGTCGCCCCCCGTGTTTGCCATTTTTTCAGCGAGCGTTCTTTATGTTGTTGGTCGGATGCGCTTTGTTTTGGCCTGGATGGCGTTTCGCTGATGCCGACAGAGTCGGTGCTGACGACATCGCGCGCAGCCGCTGCCTGTGCGCACGTAAGCCCACATACCGAGGACGCTCGTGAGGCTGTCGATGTCGGGCGGGGGGTCGTGGCGGGCGTTCCGTTTTCTGCTAACCTGCGGTGCGGAATGGCCGACCATGAGGGGCCCCTCCATTTGTGACCGCTTCCGCCTTTCATCCAAAATGAGCAGACTGCATGAACAGAACCTCTCCGAGGTCCGCGCGGACGTTTTTTGGGATCGGCGCTGGACCCCCTTGTCGCGCACGTCCGAATGCTTGCGTCTATGGGGTCGCTTTTTGTCAAAATTCTGGTTCCTCCCCTCATCCCCTCCCCCCTGTTTCACTGGCAGCCCAGACAAAAGGACTTACAACACTTACCATCGGGAGCCACAGTTCTGCCAACTTGCAACGCGACGCCCACACGGACCGAGAACACGCTGGACGAACGACATTTCAGGGGTTCCGGCCTTGCCGCCGACCTCCTCAGGAGGCGCTCTGGGCGCACGCGCGGAGCGGCATCGACGCTTGCCTCACCGCACCTCGCCTCCCAGGGCTCGCTGCGACTCCTCCGATTCGGTTCGATCTGATTCGAGTTCATGCCGATGGTTACCAGCCTCGAACGTATCCCTATCCCTAAGATTGACACGCCAAAAGGCGATGACAATCTTAGGGATTCGCCCTCAAAGATAGGGGAATCCCTAAGATTGGCATCGTGACGAGAAGGTGCCCAGCATAGGGATAGGGATCTGTTCCAGGCTGGTAAGATGGCTTCCGACTCCCGTTCGGTTCTGCTCGGGGCTCGACTCTCGGCCCTTCTGCTTCCGCCTCCCTCCGAGAGGCGGCGATGTACCCTCTCGTGCACCAGATCTTCACGGCGCGCCCGCCCTTGCGCGGGGGGTGAGCGGAGCAGGGGGTGCGGGAACGACGAGGTGCGCGAGCACGAGTCGACGAAGACGAGGAGGAGGTCGGAGGGCGCGTTCAGCGGTGTTATAACAGCCAGATGCGCCCAGGCATCCTCGCGTCGTGAGAAGGGCACAGCGTGAGCCTGTCTGCTATTTTTGCCATCGGGGGGCCCTCGCTGGGGTCCGGGACCGTCCAACGGCTATTCAGGATCAGAAGCCAGTCTGGGAGTGGGCCGAGACCTCGGGGCATCCGGGGAGTGGTGCCCGAGGATGGCGTGGCGAAGCGTACCAATTTTCATCCATTGACCATGCAGCCGATCCCCTTTACAACGCAAGTTCTTCGTGGAGGGAAGGATCATGATGATGAGCAGAAGGTATAATGCGGATTAGTTGGAGGAGAAGGAGGAGGAGGAGGAGGAAGAGGAGATAATGTGAACAAGGATGAGAACGAGGTGGAAATGGAGGCAACATCACGCGGCACTCGTCTCCCCCTCTGTTTTACCCTACGTTGTCTGTCCCTCTTTTCTCAATTCCTCTCGGGTGAGGTAGCCTGGGTTTCACCAGCGACTGAGCACAACGCCATCCCTCCACCCCTGACTGCATGACTCTTGGAGAGGGAAAGAAGAAGGTGAAACGGAGGAGGAACACGAGAACAAGAACAAGAAGGATAGGACAAGGAGGTCGAGGGAGGAGTGTGAGCAGGAAGCTGGGGAATAACAGGTAGATGAAGAAGCGGGTGGAAGAGAGCGTGATAAGCCAGAACAGCAAGGACTTCAGCATTATCCGCAGCAGGTGATCAGGAAAAACTGGAAGTGCAGGCGGAAAGGAGTGATGTGAGTACAGGAAGGAGTCCAGCATCGTCGAGTTCGACATTCTTATTCATTGTGATCGTGGGTATCTAGCTGTGGCTGAACGGGCGTTTCCAAAGGATTGTGGCCTCAGTTGTTGCGAACGGTGGGAAGGCAATTCTTGACGCTTCTTGTATCCCCACCAGCCCATCCAGACACAATCGGAGGCTTTCTCGAGTCCTCTTGGAGGCTATCTTGAACCATGCTCGGCCAGAGGCTGTCGGAGGCTATCTTGTGAATGTTCACCTATCTTGGGCTATCTTGGCCATTTTTGCCTCAAGCAGCCATTCCTGGCTCAAGCAGCCATTCCTGGCTCAAGTAGCCATTCTGGCTCAAGCCATTCTGGCTTGAGCACCGCCCGCCCGCCCGCCCGCTGCCCCCTGCGGCGGCCACGGCAGCGGCTGCGGCTGCGGCGGTGGGATGGCGGACACTTGCGGGAACAACAACACGCCGCGTTCGGAGGCGGCGGAGCGGGCGCGCCGCAGCTATGGCACCCTTACTGGGACGCAGCTCTCGGAGGCGGCTGGACGGCGACAACGGCGACGGCGGCTTCGGGCAACCATGACGACGTCGAAGGTGGGCGCCGAGCAGCGTGGCCCAGCGGAGGTGGTGCACTTCGACCTGGCTGTCGACGACGGGGACGAGGCCGAGAAGGAGTTCTTCCCGGACTGGGCATGCACCATGGAGGTGGAGAGCTCCAGACTGCTGTACGATTCTGGAGAGCACCACGACACCGCCGAGCAGCACGACGATGACGGACAGCAGTACGACTCCAGAGAGCACCACGAGACCGCCGAGCAGCACGCCGACGACGGACAGCAGCACGACTCCAGAGACCAGTATAGTTCCGGAGAGCACCACGAGACCGCCGAGGAGCACGACGATGACGGAGACCAGTATAATTCTGGAGAGCACCACGAGACTGCCGAGCTGCACGACGGTGACGGACAGCGGCACGACTCCAGAGAGCAGTACGACTCCTGCGAGCTTCACGACGCCGCCGAGCAGCACGATGATGACGGACAGCAGCACGACTACAGAGGGTAATATTATTCTTCATGGCACCTCGAGACCGTCGATCGTGACGACGGCGCCGAGCAGCACGCCTCCAGAGAGCAGTACAACTCTGGAGAGCACTACGAGACCGCCGAGCAGCGCGACGACGGACAGCAGCACGCCTCCAGAGAGCAGTACGATTCCAGAGAGCACCTCGTGACCGCCGAGCTGCACGAGGACGGACAGCAGCACGACTCCAGAGAGCAACGCGACACCGCCGAGCAGCGCGACGACGATGGACAGCAGCACGACACCAGAAGCGAGGGCGGGACGCTGCAGACACCGCCGAGACATCTCCAGGGCCTGGAAGAGGAGTCGGACCAGGAGAGCGGCACGAAGAAGGAGTTTAGAATCGCCCCTGCGCCCTTCGCAGTGCCCGCGAGGGGCACGTGGGTCTACATGGACGCGTCCAGCTGCCGCCAGGGGCCTTTCTCGGCCAGTCTGATGGCCCAGTGGTGCCGTGGCGGCCTCCTCCCGCCCACTCCGAGTGGCCACAGCGGATGGTTATCACCGAGCTGTTGCGGGGCGACCACCGGATGTGGCAGGCTTTGCCATCTGAGCCGGAGCGGGAGGCGATCGGCGCCTGCGCGGTGCTCTCACGCCTCCACGCCGACCGGCCGCAGCACGTCGCTGCGGTGAAGGCTGTCGCCGCCAGCTGGGCGACGCAGGCTGCGGCGGCGAGGAAGGCCCATGAGCCAGCGACTGCGCCAGCAGCCCTCTGCCGCTGGCGAGCCTTCCTGGCGGTGGCCGCTGGTCTGGCGGCAGAAGGGCAGCAGGCATGATTGGCGGGATGGATCGGCTCTCTCTGCTCTCCTCTCCCTTCCTCTCCCTCCCTCCCGTCCCTCCTACCTCTTCTCCGCCCTTTTCCCCTTTTTCATTTTCTTCTTCTTCTTCTTCTTTATTTTGCAGGTGGGTCCGAGGCTTTGCTTAGGATGCTTTGTCTGCCCCCTAGCGGGGTCGAGACAGCCCACTCCCTCTCGCCTCCCTCCTCTCCCTTCTCCTCCTCTTCCTCTTCCCTCGTTCCCTCCCCTCCCCTCCCTTCCCCTCCCCATCCAGACCTGCGCAGTCCTGCGTTGTCCTGGCCAGTGGGGGTCTCCTCTGAGAAGGGGCGGCGAGCTGCCCGCAGCGGCCGGCCGCGGGAAGCACCGCAGCGCCTCTATCTTCGGCGCCCCAGGCTTTTAAGCCACCAGCCTTGCGCGGCAGTGATCCGCCTGCTGCGCGCGCGGTTTTCGGCCCGGGCGTGTAGCGCCCTCCAGCTTCCCAGCCTGATCAGAAGATCATTGTTTACAATACTGGTATTCCTGCATGCGCCGTGCCTGCATTCGAGGAGCCTCACCCTGTCTTCGTAGATTTCGTGGTCATCCACGGCCTACTCCAGGCCTTTGGCTTTCATTGTGCACCCTCCCTCGATTACCGGACTTTGTGTAGTTGCCCTGCTCTCCTCCTTCCCCCTCCCATCCGTGTCCTGCCCAGGAACTGGGGAGGTGTGTGAGAAAACATGCGCGCCGAGTACGACGGCACTTCAAGAGGATCCTTGAAGGAAAAGGGCGAGGTGGAAAGAGCGACTGGCGACTTCTCACCGGCCGCGGCATTCAGGCCTAATTCGGCTCAGTGGCCCTTCGATCGGGCACATTCGCCCTTCAACAAATCGTTGTCGCGATGACATAGCAGGGGTTGCCCCCTATCATCATCCCTCCGCCCTCTCCCCTTCGGATCGTGGAACGGGCTGGTTGCACTGCATTATCGATGGCTGTTTTTTCTCTGTCATCCTTTTTCTACGGATTTTATAAAGAAGTCTTCCGTGCTGTCGTCTCCCGATCGAAAGGACTATCAAGCCTGCTCGGATGCTGATGTGTTTTGTGTGCCAAGCGCAGGTAGCTTTCGCCCTCCGGGGGCTCTTCAGCCGAAGTGGCACTGCACAGAAGCATCGGATGAAAGGTCGCTCGCATGTACAGTTTTCTAAAGAATCCAGGCCCTACCCTCCCTGCCATCGGCAACACCCCAACATACTTATACTATATGTGCGTCGCCCCCCCAGGGGCGACGCGCGCACCGAGAAATCTTATCGTATATGCGTCGTGGCGGGCGCTTTCTGGCCACACCGCTCGGGAAGCGATATACTACAAGCTGGGTATACTATATGTTCGGGTCGGACGCGCGCCTCCAAGGAGGACATATAGTATTAGTATGTCCATGTGCGTCCCATGCCACTGCCTGGTTTGCCGAACCGAGCCTGGCGTTTCGCGCCGTCCGCCGCCACCTCGGCCTTGTGCCGCGGGCCGCCGGGAACTCCCAGGCTGGGCCTCTCGGCGCTGGGGTGAGCGGCGGTCCCGACTGGAGGGCCCTCCTTGGCTCACAGGGGGGTCGCGGCCTTTTCCACCCCGGGAGGGGGACAAACATACACAGACACAATCAATCGTCGATACCCAGGAAAGTATGCGAAGATAGGGGAAGTGGGGGGGAAGACGAGCATCGGCAACAGAAAGGAATCCTGGGATTTGTGTGGATGCATGTGTGTGTGTGTGTGCCTGCGCATCCTTCGACCAAGACGGCGCGCAGATTACCGCAGTGTTCCCCGTTCTGCCAATTCTCCACCGCGCCTTTTCGCGGGCGCGCCCCGCCCCCGGCAGGCGGTGCGGTGGCTACACGACCTCGGCGTTGCCCATCGAGACCTGTCTCTGGACTCCAGAAGGGAGGGGGTCAAAGGCTCGCACGGCGAGGGCAGCACGGACGGCCAGACCTGCTGCGAGGGAGAACAGACGGCATAAGCACGATTTGTCTAAGCTTCGGGCTGATTTGTTGAGGATCGCGTTGGGCCCCCTGGCGGTGCCTCCAGCGCCCCCCCTGGCGCGGGCCCAGCGCCGATCCAAATCCGCGCGGAGTTCCGACAGCTTATTTTTATGTTGTTTTTCGCTCATCTAGAAAATCACGACGGAAGGTGTTTGGCTGTTTCGGTTTCCGGGGGCCCCGTTGGGCCCTGGGATTCTCAAAAACACAATTGGGCGAAACGATTGCCTTTGGAGAAGGGCTGGGACTTCCTGGGGGGCCCGTATTGAAAAAAATCAGGACGTCGGATGTCTGATATCTGGCAAGGGGTGAGGAGGGATTCCGCTGGATTCCGGGAGGGCCGACGAAGGAGAAGTGTCGCCAGATTTTTTGAGCGGCGTAGGCGCCGGAGCGAGCGAAGGAGGCTTGATAGGGAAGCAAAGATGAGCATCTGGGCACTCGGAAGTGGAGAAGGGGGAAGGTGACGAGGACAAGAAGGCTTTCCGATTCGGTTCGTCCGACTGCCGGGCCGCTGCCATGGGATTCAAAGCTCTGATTTGATTGGCGATGCGCTTACAGTCCGCCCCTCTCCCTCCATCGCCAGTGCGACTGCGACCTGGTTGAGGGGGAAGAGGAGGACGAGTCTGGGCCATGAGGAGGCGGGGGCGGAGGTGGGGGAGCGGGGGGCGGAGGCCGGGGGGAGGATGACGCGGAGGAGGCGAAGAAGGCAGAGGGGGAGGGGCACGAGGAATGGAGGAGCAAGAGGAGGAGGAGGAGGAGGAGGAGGAGGAGGAGGAGGAGGAGGCGGAGGCTCACTGGCCAGGCCGCCGCTGTTGCCGGGCTGCTGAGGCGCGGTGGAGTTGCACGCCCTCGTCGTCCCGGTCGTGAGGGGGGCTGAGGGTGGCGATGCGGTGAAACGCCGCTCGAGGAGGAAAGGGAAGACGCATTCGTACTCACATACAACATCTCGTTCCCCCCTCCTCAACCTCTGCCGATGTTTGGATAGCTGGTGCCGCGGTCGCACGTGCGCGGGCACCGATCAGATGGAGGACGGGGACGGGAAGAGGGCAGAAGGTTGAAGGAGAAGAGCTTTTCATCATCATCATCAGCATCATTATCATCATCATCATCATCATCATCATCATCATCATCATCATCATCATCATCATCATCATCACCACCACCACCACCACCATCATCATCATCATCATCATCATCATCATCATCATCATCATCATCATCATTAGTGCCATTATCATCATCGTTATCGTCATCGTCGTCTTGATCATCATCGGCAACATCATCACCAGCATTATCAGCACCATCCTAGTTATCTCACCAGCAGCATCATCATCTTGATTAGCATCATTATTCTCACCACCGTCCTTATCATCCTCATCCTCGATGCCCCGAGTGCTTTTGACCGGGGCCCGAAGTAGTTTTGGAGGAGGTGGATGGTTGAGGGGATAGAGGAGGAGGAGGAGGAGGAGGACGAGGGGAGGAGGAGGAGGAGGAGAGAGGAGGAGGAGGAGGAGGAGGAGGAGGAGGAGGAGGAGGAGGAGGAGGGAGGAGGAGGAGGAGGAGGAGGAGGAGGAGGAGGAGGAAGCTATTCCCCCCGCTGCCTTCCCGGCGGGCGCTGACCGCGAGGAGAATCTGCTGCTCCACAATGAGAACGGCGGCCTGGCGATCAAGATAATAGATTTCGGGAGCGGGGGGTCGATCTCCAACAGGAAAAGGTTTAGGAGGGAGGGGGGAATTGGAAGCCGACAGTTACAGCGAAGTGCGCCACCAGTCCTGGCCAGGCACATCCTGGGCCCGGGAACATAGTACAGCGTATCCTCGTTTCGGATGGAAGGGTCTGTGCAACAGACAAGGGTCTTAGATGAGCCATAGCAGGGCGGTAATGTATACTGTCGTCGGCCACCGTGTTAGCGCAAGATCGACATGCATACAGGATGATTCTGCCGAGCTTTCTCGACACGGTCGGTGAAATCACCTGGGAGCAGTGTGGGAAGCGGCTCCACGATGTTGATGTAGGGCGCGGGCGTAATCGTAACGCTGCATGTTCGCTGTGCCCTTCGGTATCAAGACCAGTGACGTAGACCCTTCGCTTGGAAAAGCTTAAACTGCCCGGGATCTTGTGTGATTCGGACGCCATCAGCTCATAACGTGCCCGCAGGCCTTTATGTTCGAGCTGCGTTGGAGGAAAAAAGAGCCCCAATATACGCTTTCCCCACGCATCCGCGTAACTTCCGCCATGGTAGCGGAGAGCGTGGCTCTGTGGTGAACTACGCAGATCAGATCCACGGGAAGACTGAGGACGTGCGCTGCCCATAGCAGCGGCGCCCAGAGAGCAGCTGGTGCATTGCAGAGGCGACATCAAGCTGCCAGAGTTCAGTGACAGAGATGAGGAGTGGCCCAGCTGGTCCATCCAAGCTCACGCGTTATTCGCGCTGATGGGCTGGGATGACCTCATCGACAACGTTGAGGCCCAGCCAACGCTCGCGGTGGACAATGTCAGCATGGGCGAGCGCGCGGCAGCGACGAGCAATATGCTGCATGCCGTGCTGATCACCAAGACCCAGCGCAAGGCGCTGGCGATGGTTGCGCTTGCAGGCAGGCACGAGGGTTTCGTCGCCTGGCGGGCGATCAAGAACGAGTGCGAGCCTGGGGTGGGCACCAGGTTCGCGGCCATGCTCAGCGGCCTGCTCAACCCCATGTGGGGCGACCAGGAGCCGTTCGCCGACCAGCGCGTTGACTGGGGCAACGACGTGGCGAGGTACGTCTTGCAGGCGGGGAAGGACTTCGGTGATGAGTTTCCCATCGTCACGCTGCTCGTCCATAGCCCCGAGCCGTGCAAGACCGTGCTACGCAATGCTCCGACGGCCGCCAAGGTCTCGCACGTGGCGACGAGGACCCACCTGAGAGAGTGGATGGCGTCAGGACAGGTCTTCGCATTTAGCGGCGCGGTGGGCCAAGGCGTGGCGCCGATGGGGATCGGGGCGATCTCGGGCCGTGTCCTGCCGCAACAGCCTTGGCCAAAGCTCGATGGCGACAAGTCGGGGGGCGGCGAGGGTGACAAGATGGGCGGCGCAGGCGACAAGGGCGGCAGAGGCAGCTAGCAGGGGTCAACAATGACAAGCTCAAGGGCAGCAACCCCGCCAAGTTCGAAGGAATCTGCAACTGGTGCCAGAAGCAGGGGCACAGGGAGAAGGACTGCTGGCACAAGGCCGCTGGCAAGCCTCAGGCGCCGACGCCAGCGCCCCCGAAGGCGGCCGCGGTGCAGCGGGTCCCCGCGGGCGCTGAGGGCCAGGGGACCGTGAGTGCGGTGGCCGCGGGCTCTGGCGGCGACGAGGTCGGCTGGGTCTTTGGAGTCAGGAGCTCGGTCGGAGGCTGCCGCAGGGAGGGGCGCAGGGGGTGCGTCCTCGCAGGCGGTGGCAGCGACGAGCACCTCTGCGGCCGGGCGTTCGGATCGCAGCGTCCGACAGTTCAGGAGGGCCCCGCAGCGCCCAAGCTCACCGCGGTGAGCGGCCAGAGGCTCGGTACCGAGGGGCTCCGTAGGGTCCCGATGGTCGTCGGTGGCGAGAAGGGTCGCCAGCCATGCTTGGGGAACCTCAGAGTGAGCGGTCACCTCTCCCCTCAGGGCGCGGTGCTCAGCCTCGGGAAGCTCGCGCGCAAGCAGTTCAGGTTTGTCCTTGAGGAAAGTGGCCCGCGCGCCGTGAACCTCGAGACGGGCGAGCGGGCGGACGTGGGACTAGTTGGCAACGCGTTCTACTTCGCTGCTCAGATTCACGACGCGATGGACGAAGACAAGCTCGCAGCCTGCCCCGCCAGGGTCGCTGCGGCAGGCGCCACAGGAGCTTCGTGGGGGGCGGTGCGAGGAGAGGATCCTCCGCCGCGCCCAGGAGCTCCAGGGCCACGTGACCCAGCGCCACCAGGTGCAGGAGCTGCGCCACCGCGGGCGCAGGAAGCGGCGGCGCCGCCAAGGGCGCAGGAGGCGGCGGCGCCCGCGGAGGGCCAGGAGGCACCCGCGGCGGCCCAGCCGCCGGGGCGGTCATACCTCGACGAGGGGCTTGGACAGAGCTCGAGGATCGACGCCGCGCAGAAGCGCCTCAAGGAGATCTACGCCCCGTGCTACGGGGCCAAGGCTCAGTGCCGGGCGCGGCTCGTCGAGTACGAGGGCAGACGCAAGGTGAGGGCGGCGACGGATGACTTCCGCGAGCTAAGGCGTGAGGAGATGAGGCGTCAGGCGGGGGCGGGGCAAGTGCTGGTGCCGACCGCGTTCCCCGACGTCCGCGAGCCGACGCCAGAGGAGAGACGGCGTCGCGAGGAGTGCCAGCACTGCCCGCCGCGGCGCTGGTGCGATCACCGCCAGATCGGGCGTGGGCGCGGCAGGCCCCGCGAGCTTCTTGATGCGGAGGTTGAACGCCTCCCCGTGATCGGACTTGACCTGGCGTTCTTCAAGGGCGAGGCGGCCGACGCCGTGGAGGCGGGCCCCCGTGCCGGGGAGGGCCAGAGACAGGGCGAGGAGATGGTGCTGGTGGTCGCGGATGCCGACACGGGTGCCTTGAGGAGTGCCCCGAAGCTTGACCGGCGCGCTGATCCTTGCGCGGCGGCTGCCACGGCGGCGTCCATCAAGAGCCTTTTCCATCAGAAGGTCATCTTAAGGCCAGACCACGAGGGCGCCATGATGGACCTGGCCAACAAGGTCGAGGCAGCGCTGCCCCACCGCGTGGTCGTGAGACCTGCCCCCGCGTTCAGCTCCCAGTCGAACCCTTCCGAGAACGCCAATGGCATCATCCAGGCGCAGTTCCGCACGAGCAGGGGCGCGCTGGAGGCGCGACTGGGCGCCAGGGTCCGACCAGGCACGTCCATGTACAAGTGGTTGCAGCGCCGCGCGGGCTGGGCACGCAGCAACCTGAGGATCCAGGCGAGCGGTCGCACCGCGCATGGGGGCCTCTAAGGCCACGCCTACACCGGGGAGATAGCCACCCCAGGGGTGTCTGTCCTGGCGCGCCTGCCCAGGGACAAGAATCGCAGGGCGAGAGGCAATGTGCATCATGAGGGTGACATGGGCATCGCGAGGGCGGTCTGGCCAGGGAAGAGCTACGACGCCGACGAGCACATTTGCGCCCGCGAGACGGGTGAGCTGGTCAGGGCGAGGACCGTCAAGAGGCTGCCCGGAGAGCGGAGGTTCGATCGCACCGCCGTGGCGGCGATCACGCACATGCCACGGCGGCGCCGAGGGCAGGGCGCGGTCCCGCGCGGGATCGAGCCGACTGCCGCGCCCCCTGCCGCCGCGGACGCCGACCTGGCGGCGCAAGAGGCAGCTGAGGCACAGCCAGACCCGAGCGCTGTTGCCCAGTCCACTGGGGTCGCCCATGGCGGCGGCCCAGCAGCCCAGACGGGCGCGCCCATGGCGGCGCCCTCGGCAGACATGGCAGGCGGTGCCGAGGCGACCGCCGGGGACAGGCAAACGGGGCCAGCGACGCAGACGTCTGCTGGAGCAGGCGCCGGGGACGACACCCCCATGGCGCCGAGGGCTGCAGCGCCAGCGAGTGTGGCTCCGCAGACGCCCCTGATGGGTCGATCGCCGAAGCGACCCGCGGAGGGGGGTGACAACCGTGGCACCCTTGCGAGGTCCCGAGTTAGCGGAGTAGCAGTTGAGCACAGTGTTGACGTTCGGCCTGACTTCCTGCAGATCTGGGCCCCACGATGCGTCGGACACGCAGTTGATCGAAGCTCCCACCAGCGGGGCCCTCGACGGCCTGAAACAACGCGGGGTGGGCAAGCTCGTCAAGCGGAGCGAGGCCGCCGGAAAGAGGATCAGCGCCCGCTGGGACCATATCTACAAGTGGGACGCGAACCTCGGATGCAGGATCGCTAAGTCAAGGTGCGTCGTGCGAGAGTTCAAGTGGCAGGAGTACCGCGACGACCTCTTCTCGCCAGGGGGCAGCATGGCCGACAGCGAGGTGGTTGACTGCGTGGCACTGAAGCACGGATGGCCCACCTTCGCCGTTGACGCGGAGGACGCGTACTACCATGTCCCCGAGGAGGAGGACGCGTGGGTCGAGTGCCCACCCGAGGTCCTGGAAGAGTGCCCCGCGAAGGGCGGCGCCGAGGACTGCGAGTGGCAGCTCGAAGCAGTTGCCAGGACGGCGTGCTGGAGGGAAGCGCTGGGTCGTTCGCCGCGGAGCAGCTCATGGCCGGGGGATTTGAGCGGTCGCCGACCGCGCCCAAGTTCTTCTGGCGCGCCGAGCTCCCATGTCTGGTGGAGCTGCGCATGGGCGACAAGTTCGGCACAGCGCTTGGAGTTGCAGGGTCCAGCTTCGTGCTGGACCTAGGCCGTGACATCAGGGTGAAGTGGTCAGGCCTACAGGGCGACGGTGCCGACTGCGAGTTTCTCAAGAGGCGGCGCCTGCGAGAGGCCGACGCTACTTGCATTCAGCCCAACGAGAAGTACCTCGCCAAGGCGCTGGAGGCGCTAGGCTTTGAGGAGGCCAACCCGCGCGCCACCCCAAGGGTGGAGGCGCGCAGGACAGGCTGGGATGACGCGCCCGACCTTAGCCCAGACGAGGCCAAGCTGTTCAGGGGTGTGACCATGTGCCTGCTGTTCTACTTGCGCGACCGCGAGGATGCCCAGTTCGACATCAACTACCTGACCTCGTGCATCTCATCGCCCCGTAAGGCGGGCGTGCGAGCCCTC